CAGGAGGGACAAGTAAAGATTGGAGACTTTGGTTTGGTCACTACTGAGACTGATGACAACGGAGAACTGAAGACAAGAACTCTGTACAAAGGAACACCATTTTACATGGCTCCTGAGCAGGTGACACTAACTGTGTTTACATCTAAAGTCCCATATAGTGAAAATCCATTGTTATTGTGTTCTGTGGTTGTTACAAACTTTATAATGTTTAGATATGAAGACATTTATTTGTGTCATTTCCCAGGCCCACCACAGGTAGTTACTGTGTTTTCATGCTGAATGTTGTGCTTCAGTAGAACCTGAACTCATCCAGTGTTTATCTGTTAGCTTCTCTTCTGCTTTCTGTTCTGACAACATTGCATTCAATATAGCCAAATTATAATAAAGCTGTTCGCATTCACATATTGTTCTGTTTCAGTTGTCAGACCACAAAACATGTATGAAATAGTGACTGAAGTGTCGCCCATATAGACTACATGTTAACCAGCAGTCACTTCAGAGCCATTTCTGATCTGCAGCTCTACACCACTAAAATGCTGATTCTATTCTACCACAATGCTGTCTGACAATCAACAGAGGTGGAGGTCTGAGGCATCACCTCCCACCTGTTTACAATTCAGTCTTAAGAACACTTCCCAGGAAGATGCAACCACATTGGTTTGGTCACTACTGAGACTGATGACAACGGGGAACTGAAAGCCACAAAAGACCTTAACGAACCCCTTTGTGGCAGGGGGAGTACTAACGACTCACATAACAAGGGGAAGTGTTAATGGCTTCTTAACGATATAAGTATCTGGAACTCCCAACTAGTCAGTCAGTACTGATGAAGCCTCTTGGATGAAAGGAGAAGTGTGTTTCAGAAACTCAAGCAAGTCAAGTTGCTACGATCACACTGTGAGAATAACCATGACCTGGATGATTGAGAATCTTCACAGACATGTTGCTACACACTTCGGGAAGAACACCCTTTGACTGGTGTGGGAGTGCAAAAGAACTTCCAGAAAACTTGCAGACTACAGGAATCATCTACGCTTCAACCTGAGATGCAGACAAGATGACATAATCCCCAACAGCCTACGACTAGGGTGAAGGGTAGCAGAGCAGAAAGAATCCTCCAGAGGGCACAGAACCAGCTGTTCAATGAAAGAGTGAGGCAGGTACATATCACCATTGATGCACTTAGAGCGAAGAACAACAACATGCATGAGAAACTGTCAGCACTTTTACCTAGTGAAATTTTGGAAGACGTTTCTAAATTTGTAGACAAGGCTCAGATGACTCAACATACAAAGAGCAAGGAAAGGCAGACATGCAAATTCAAAGACTTCAGTCCAGGTCCAGCAACCACCACACAGAGGAACTGACCTGGAGAAGGAAAGAAGACAACACAGCACAACTAGACATTCAGGAGANTTTGTGTCAGAGTTGGTCATGTTAACTAAAGATTGTACAATTCTTTAACAGAGTATTCATGAGGGCTGTGATCAGTGGTGTACAGTTTCCCATTGGTGTGGGGGAGAATAGAAAGGAAGCCAAGCAGAATGCAGCAAAAAGTGCCCTGAGAAGTTTGGATGACAAGGAAAATCAGAGACCAGTGGTAAGACCAACTGTATACACGGCAAGTTTCATTATTTGGTTGGCAGTTGTTGCTAAATATTGTTTTTTATAATCTTTCTTTCAGGGAGAAAATGTGTCGTCAAAACCTGCTCCTGTTTGTCAGAAAAATATCACAGCCAAGCTGGTATATGAGAAGACATGTGTAAGTAAAATGACAGAGGTCATGTCCAGTCTGTCCTGGTTTAACTGAAATATTTAGAAATAGTACACATGGAGGAGTTTGTCATAAAGGGGGAAAAGTGGACTATGATGTTGTTGAGTCTTTTACAAAACAGAGAATGATACCAAGAATCTGTAGGCCACACTGTAGTTTATTAATTAGTTATAAATGTAGAAGACATGATGAATGTCCTTTTTTTTTTGTAAAACCTCTAACACTCATGATGGCATAAACTTTTTTTACTAGGCCATTAGTAACTTAACCTCAGTAAAAAGTAACTGTGAAAGAAGATGCAATACAGAAATTAAAGACTCTCTTTTTGTGTGTCAGGTGTCTGATGAGCTGTCCAGACTACAGATCACACCGTAAGTCACTGACAGTTTTTTTTTTATTATTAATGCTAATTGTACTAATACAAATTTGTACTAATGCCTCACTTTGTATTGTTCAGTGATTTCTGTGATGCAGAATCAGAAATCATGGTAGAGACTCCTAATGCATCGAAGCATCCCATTGTTCAGGTCTGGTGTTACCTTTCAGTCAATGTGAAAAATCCACCATCTGATCCTCATTTGAGTCAAAGTACTGAAAATGTTTTTGTATTGGTTTATATCTGAGTCAATATTTAGACATTCTTTAAAGTTGTCTGTCTCATGGTTCTGAATGAATGCTGGGAGCCTGAGGGAAACCTCCTAAATGATGGGCTAGCACTAGAATGTGAAGGCATGTTTGATGTTTCAGACTATTCTTGTTTCTCTAACAGGCCACAGTGTTATGATTTACATATTTACTGCTAATTACTATAAATAAATAAAGATAAAGATAGCGTTTTTAGCTAAGGCCGACTGATATGTTTTTGTAAGGATCAGTATTGATTATTAGTATTCAAGGAAACTGATAACCAATATTTGAATTAAAAATTTGCAGTGAAAATTAAAATCACAAACTCCCACAAAACTTTGTTAAATGCCTTCATTTATTTTTATTTTTTACATTTGTTTAACTTAAAGAACTTTTCAACATTCATCCTTCAGTATTGATGGGCTGTCAAATAGTGCTATGGGCAACAGAAATAACAGGAAAATGCATAGTCTTCTGTCAAATCAGGTAGCTCAGACTCATTGTCTATACTGCCTACAGTATTCCTAGTAAGCAGTTTTCATGCAAGTTTCCAAAACACTTGTTTTTGTCCATGTAAGCTCTTTATCGTAATTTATTTCTTCCTTAAGAATATTCCTCATGAAACTAATCCAGGAAGTGATTCCAGTGAGCTGACCTCAGACCATTCAGAAACATTAAGGTGTGGAAAAGAAAAACATTAAATCACGATGTTATCACATTATTGCATTTCTTTTGAGTTTTTCCAAGTTGATATTGCATTAGAGACGGTTCTCTACAGTACCAAGTCACAATTCGACTTCAAAGAGTTGCTCGGCAGTGGAGCTTTTGGTCAGGTTTACAAGGTGATAGACAAGTTGCTGGACAAGCACTTTGCTTTAAAGATTGTCCGCTTCAAAGAGTAAGTCACGTTTTCAGTCATTTTTAATGTTTTGAACATGTACTTAATAATTTGTTAGATACAAATGTAATGCAAAGCAAGCTCCAGGTTTTAATTCTGACTTTTTCTTACATTTAGGATCAGAAAAGCTGTAAGAGAGGCAAAGGCAATGTCAGACCTCTACCACCCTCACATTGTTAGATGCTACTCTGCTTGGGTGGGAGATTCAGGCTACCAGTGGGACAGCACAGATGACAGCAGCAGCTCTACACAGTGAGTCTCATCCACTAAATAACATCCTTATTTATCAGAAGTATATCATGTTACCATTTTCCTTTTCTTACTCTTACGAGGTCTTCTAGTGATTCATCTGAAAAGTTCCTCTACATTCAGATGGAGTTATGTGACACCAGAACACTCAAAGAGTGGATAGATGAGAACAATAAGAACACATCTAATCGAGACTCAAAGAGAAGAAAAGAAAGTCTGGACATTGTTCTGCAAATAGTCGATGGAGTCGAGTACATTCACTCTAAGAAGTTCATTCACAGAGACCTGAAGGTGAGTCAAAGTGTACAGCAGGCTGTCTGTAGGCAGTGCACAGGCCTGTGTATCGACAAGCTGGCCCGAGAAACAATATTAATTTTTATCCTGTGTTTATGAAAAGATCTTCAAAGACTTGACTTAGCAAAATCTCATTGTTACTGCAAGTTAGTCACGAAGCTACATGTTTGTTTCATTTTTTTAGCCTTCCAACATCATGTTTGGGCAGGAGGGACAAGTAAAGATTGGAGACTTTGGTTTGGTCACTACTGAGACTGATGACAACGGAGAACTGAAG